GTTCAGTGGCTTGCAGGGTTGGCTTTTGTGAAGGAACAAAGTGCAAACAGAAGGGCAGAGTTCAAGTTTATTTATTGAGGCTTTATGAACAAATATCTTGGGCAACCTCTGTTCTGTACAGAAAATAAATCTCACCAGTATTTATTTGAACAGCAGAAATAAAGCTTGCTGGGAGAAAGTACTCCTTGATGTGGCCCTTGAATTTCTGTACCTGTTTCCTTCCTTCCTGGGGAAGGAAGCTAATAAAGAAGCTGACAATGAATATGAGCTGTCATTAAAATAATGTCCATTAACCCCCGTTTTTCAGAAAAAAAGGGAAGAAACAAACAACCAGACTAGAACTCAATATCTAAAAATAAAAAAGACTCATCTATTTCTGCGGAATTTGGAGGAAGACTTTGGTCATACTTTCAAATTCTTCTATACAACCATAATTAAAGCGCATGCCCTTAGAACACATGCCCTTAAATCTCAGCTATTAACCTTTATTTTTATCCTTGAATAGATTTCCCTTGGAGCTGGGACTTAAAGAAAAATACCAGTTAGCATGAAATTAAGGATAGACTGTGGTTATTTTCAAGACTTTTAGAATAGATCCTGTATGCTGTGTTAGTACCTCTATTCTAGTTGTGTTGTAAAAATACAGGATACATGTATTGGTAATGTGTGCTGGCAGTTTTTAACTTAGGTTGGGGGTTTTTATGTCTATTGCAGCTCAAGATGTCCAAAAAAATCCATGGAGGCTCTGTTGTGGAGATGCAAGGAGATGAAATGACACGGGTCATCTGGGAACTAATTAAAGAAAAGCTGATTTTTCCTTATGTAGATCTCGATTTGCACAGGTAATGGCTTTTTATGACACCAACAGCCACTTTGTACAGCAATTTGCATGTGTCATTAGGCATTGATCATGTTTCACTTAGCACTGAGAGTCTTACAACTCCTTTTGCACTAGTGCAGAGAGGCTAACTAGCCCTTTCATACTGGTAAAGTTTTCAGCAGAGTCCCCTGGTTAATTTACCTAAGGCACAACCCCATACTCTGGAAAGCATGTGCTCATGGTGAAGGTATTTTGTCAAAGTCTGTTTGAAGCCCCTCTGGGTTTCCTCACAGAAGTAAGCAGTGAATGATTGTGTGTTAGCTTTTTTCTGTACTGTGCCTTTAAGAAGGTTTCTTACTGATACAGCCTGTGTTTTTTATCTCCTCTTCTTGGCTTTCCAGCACCTGGGCAGTCTGCATGGCTTCCTGTAGCCTGAACAATTAGAAACATGGGGTGTTTCAGCCAATCCTCAACTTGAAGCCTAGCATCTGTGGACTCTGAGCAGGTTTATGGCTTCTTGCCATCTCTGTTTGAAGATCTGCCCAGAGGGCAAAAGGGTGGTTGTAGGGTACAGACTCAGCCCTGATGTATGTAAGCTTGAGCTCTGCTGCTGGCAGTGTGAGCTGGCTGTTCCAATTATTCCCTGAGCCTAGGCTCTGCTCCTGCACTCCCTCCTGGAAAAAACAAATACTAGCAGCTGGTATGGCAAAAGGGACAGGCTATCTACAGCCTCTGATCAAGCAGAGCAAATAACCTCTCCTTCTAGCTACTGAGCTATAGTTACTAGAGAAGTATCCAGCTGTATTGCTCCTAGCCATGTGGACAGAGGCCTTCGGTAGTATCTGCCATTATTAAACCCACAAGTCTGACCTCTTCCCCTACTCTTGGAGTCATTTGTATGCCACCTACATCAGACTTTCTGCTTGCTAGTGTTGAGAACCAAGCAAATGGGAACTCAGCAGTGTAATACATGCACATAGTCTAGAGAACATCCTTTTCCAAAGGGGATGGGAGGAGGGAAAGCAGACCCCGGGCTGAGGCAGCACAATGGCTAGATTCATGTACAGTTGGCTATGCTTCAGAGCTGTCCCACACTGGGCACCCGTTGTTCTCCAAGAGCTATTAAAACAGTGAGTGTGGGAAACATGCTTCCCCTGACTGAGGGGAATATTGGCAGTTTTGCTGCCAGGGCAGGGTGGTGGGTCCATTGTCTAGGCAGTTTTTAAGCCTAGTGTGGCTTCATATGCTCAGTACATGAAGGAAGCCAGAGCCCTCAGCACAAGAGTTTTGAAATAAAAGTCCATATTCATCTGGGAATTGTGCTGCTCTATACTGTTAGAATCCCAGACTGAAGCTTCTGTTGCAGGAAGCTCAGAAGGGAAGGCAGTGGAGATACCTGGCTATGTCACATGCTGGCAGAGAGAAGCTGTCCTTCCTCCAACCTCCTGCCAGCAGCAGAAGTATCAGTATAGGAGCCTGTGTTTTCTTCCAGTCCAGCAGCATTTGCACTGGAAGAGGGATGACTTCAGTTATGGCAGAGTGCTAGAACTACACTCACAGGCACATATGGGGTTTTATTTCTTTTCTGTTGGACATGAACAGATGTCCTGGGCAGTACTGATCATCTCTGTGGACTTGTTACAGCTATGATTTGGGCATTGAGCATCGTGATGCTACAAATGATAAAGTAACAGTGGAAGCTGCTGAAGCCATAAAGAAATACAATGTTGGCATAAAGTGTGCAACCATCACTCCTGATGAGAAGAGAGTGGAGGAGTTCAAGTTGAAGCAGATGTGGAAGTCTCCCAATGGGACAATTAGAAACATCCTGGGTGGCACTGTCTTCAGGGAGGCTATTATCTGCAAGAACATTCCCCGGCTGGTGTCTGGATGGGTGAAACCCATTGTCATTGGCCGCCACGCTTATGGGGATCAAGTGAGTCACTTCATTTTTTTTTTTTTTTTTTTTTTTTTTTAATCTGAACAGACTTAGACCTGACTGGTATAGAGCTACAAAGACTTGGACATCCCTGTGCTGTTGCTTTATCCCTTCCATTCCACCTAGCAGTGGATACTTGCTAGCACTTTGTACAGCACCTGATGAAGTGTGGGTTCATGCTTCTCTTCCTTAGGCAGTGTAGCTGTATAAACAGCCTGCCCGGGCCCGTGCTGTGATTAGGTAGGTCTGAACCTAAACACGGGGTATAACTCCTCCAGGTTTTCTTCACCTTCAGAACCATCCTCCCTATATAGCAATGTCTTTACAAAATATCCTCTACACTACCCATCTTCTTGCTTCTCAGAAGGATTTTTTTGGTGGCAGATGTTGCTCACAGCAAACACAGCTCTGAGCAAGTGTTTTTTAGAACTGGGTAAAGTTGCCTGTTGTGTGTGAGTGTCTGTTTTTTTTTTTTTTTTTTTTTTTTTTTTTAACTGTGATCTGCCTCTTAAACGTAAGTATTTATACTGCGCACATCAGGCTATGGTACTGAAGTGAGGAAACATCCTTCATCAGACCACTCCTGGCAGAGGTAGTACAAGGCCATGGAAAGCCCTAGTATGACACTCAGTGTAGCAGCCTTTGGGTAGTCCAGAGGACAAGAATCAACCATACTCTTCTCCATGGGTGGTGGTACATTGTAAAGCGGCCAAGTATAACAAAAGTAAAGTCTTTTAGAAGAGTCAGGTGCTTAAATAGATAGGTAAACCCACAGACTGAGGGCAAGTCATAACATCAACTGAGGTGGAAAGGTAAAATAATAAATTTCAAGAGGAAAATAATTGCAGAGCCCTGACACTAAAAAAGAATGGAGTTCAACATCCTTAAGAGTACTGAATAATTGAGAAGGTCAAAATAATAGCAAACAATAGATTAAGGGGAAGGATTGAAACCCTGCCAAAGTATGAGATTAAAGTGAAAGTAATAATATAAGAACCTGTAAAGGTCATATGAGCAAGACACTTCTGTAACTTCAGAACTTCTTAGGGAACCGATTCCCTCAATAGGAGAGAATGAAAAAGGATGAACTACATGAAAAAGAATGACAAATTTCAAGGAAATCTAACCATACATAGTATTGTTCAGGACAGTTGGTAAGGTGAGACACCATTTAAAAACTTAAAGTACATGTTGGCTCTTCTTTTGAGTCTGTGGAGCTCAGAGGAGCAAAATGTGTATCCATTTAAAGAATTTGAAGAGCTCTTACTACAGGTTGGCCTTTCAAATGCCATGGCTAGAAATAATGGCTTTTATTAAGGTGTTATATGATTCCCCCTTATTCATGAGATATGAATGGCTCTTTTTGAAGCAGGGAAAGGACCCTTTCTACTCACAGACCACACAACACTCTGGATACTTTGCACTTCAAAACTTCAGTGCATCTGCAAAAATACATAGTCTGATAATTGATAGGGCCCAAGAACCTGTAAGCTTTTTCCCTTAGAGGAAAACCTCTTCTGAAACATGCAGGCTCTTGACTACTTCCTTTTTAATCTCTAGTAAAATAATCCAGTGACCACATAGCTGACTAAACAGAGCCTGTTATGCTTTTCTGCACCCTGCCCTCCCAAATGCAGATTGTCTTTTATGGTTCTGTCCTTCTGATAGATAAAATCATCATGGCACTTTTTTTTCTTTTTTTTTTTTTTTTTCCAAACAGTACAGAGCAACTGATTTTGTGGTACCTGGGCCTGGAAAAGTAGAGATGACCTACACTCCAGGAGATGGAGGCAAACCAGTCACATATCTGGTTCATAACTTTGAAAGTACGTATTATCTCAAAGTTGTGATGCAAACTGATATTTTTGGTTTAATTCAACCTTCAAGTATCAGTCAGATTTGATGGTAAAATATGACTGAGGTAGAGTGGGGGAGAAGGTCTGGGCCTTCTTCATTTATCTGGGAAGTACTGAAAGTTACTTGAAATCTTTCTGAGATTGAAGAGGCGTATCAAACACCCAATCATACTAGACTGGTCACGTGTCATGCTCCTTATATGATGACTCTGGTAAAGCACATAATTTTTTTTGCTGTGATCACAGGGAAACTTGCTATCTTGGGCTTGACCTAAGAGGAGATATGTTTGAGAACAACTTGGGTATAATTCTTTGTGTTGTAGACTGCCTTACTGGGCTCTATATATTTTTGCAGTTTGTACCCTTCTTTATTAAGTAGTTGCTATTTTTCAATAGAAATGAGAACTGACACTTGCTCTGCAAGCTGGCAAGGAGGTTTGACAAGGATGCTTTTGACTGTCTAGTCTCTAGCTGCTTTAACAGATGCAGTTCCAAAGGTATTGGTGTCTCTCCTAGCAGCATTGTTGTGCTGGCTGTAGACATTGCTAGGCTCAGAAGGCAGAGTCCTGACATTGCTGGGCTTTGTTGCTCAAAAACAATTACACACGTTGCTAGAACCCAGGGCATTTCTCCAGGGGCAGGATTCAGGAAAATCACACAACTTGTCTTTCTTGCCTATCAGTGATTAAAGGGTTAGGATTTGAACCCTTATGGTGACCTGTGTATGTGAGCATGTGATGTTTTGTTTCTAGCTACAAAGACCCAATACATCCATGTAAACCACAGAATCCTAGTTTGTATGCAGTTGGCTTGGCAAACAGGTACCAAGACTGCCACATGACCGTCTTTTGGAATACTTCATTTCCCTGGCATTCTTGCTAACAGGAGCCTAAATCTCCACTGTCTCTTGTGGCACAGCCTTTCACCTACTTCACTGCCAGTCCTGATCTGTTTTCATTTGGTAGGTGACTGGTGAACCTGTATTGGAGACGTCTGGCAGTTCCAGCTGTTAGTCTGATTCACCACTCCACATTACATCAGTGAGCAGAAAGCAAGGAAGAGCAAAGATGGCAGATTGCTGCTGTTGCTCTGGGGGAACTCCCCTCCCAAAGATAACAGTTGTGCCAGCATATCTCCACGAAGCATAAGTGAAGCTTGTCCTATTGATATACTAATGTGTTCAACCTTGACACTGAATCAAGAGATTTTAGTAGGCAGTAGGATTGATTGCAACAAGGTGGGGTTTTTTACCTATATGCAAGTAAGTATTTGAATAAAACTTAATAGCTGTTGTCCAGCAAGTCAGGGCTCCAGAGGACACAGTCTCTATAGCTGATCAGACCCTGTTCTGTCCTAGACTCACCAAGGGAGGCAGTGGGGCTGTGTGGGTTTTTTGTTGGTAACAACAGGAATTTAATTCCCTGCCAATATCAACTTCAAATGACCTTGCTACCTTGGCAAGCAGATAAACCTCCTCTGGCTTCCCCTCTTCATTCTGCATGCATGTCTATATAGTAACAACCATCTGGAAGTAAAGACAAATGGATATTAGGAAAGGATATTTTCAAAAACAATAAATTTGGTGTTTCCAGAACAAAGATCAAGGCACTGTACAACAGATTAAGGAGGTGATGGTAGCGAGGTGCTTAAAATTAAGTACATGGTATCTACTTTTCACTAGAAATACAAAGAGCTGTGCTCTGAAGATGACAAAGGTTTTTCGTGAAGTCATAGATGCTGCTTTTTCAGCCTTTCCCATGATATAAACGCTGCTTTCCCCCAGATGAGCTGGGCTGTAAGTTTAAGTTTAAAGCACTTCCATTCAGGCTGCCAATGCATCTGCATTACACAATCTAAGTCATGTGAGTGTTGGTAGTTCTGAGAGCTGCCTCAGGACTTTCACTCACACCCAGACAGCTGCCATGTTCTTCCTACAACTTGGTGGAAGTGAGCCTGAGCAGGTGAAAACAAAGCTGCAGGGTAGGCCAAACACTGAAAAGGTGGAGGAATGCATGTGAGGACTTGTATACCTGAGCTAGGTAAAGCAGCCTCTGACTGCTGGAGTTAATTCTGCAGTGCAGTCAAAGCCTGAAGGTACAAGGCACTTAAGATGGGAGCCATCCTATTTCTAGCTTTGACTGACACCCCTGTACCAAACTTCTGTGTGCTGCTTTGATGGAAAAGTACTCTATTATTTATATGGCTAATAGTTCAAGCACACTCATTCCTGTCACAGTTCTGCTGTTTAAGATGGATTAGCAAGAAACCTCTTAGGGGTATTAGATCACAGTATTAAGCTGTAAAACAAAACCGCCTTCCTATCCATGTGTCATATAGCTGCTGGAGATTTGAGGTGATAGTGCAAAGTGAATCTTCTCCTGAAAGAACTAACCTTAAATTAAGAATGACATCAGGACACCTGGGGATGACACCAGCCTGCCTGCCTGCCAGAGTATGCTATGGGGTGACTGTCAAATCCTTAACCAAAACTAAATCTAGTTGATTCCTATCTGTTCTTCCTCTACTAACAGGCTGTGGTGGTGTAGCCATGGGAATGTACAATCTTGACCAGTCTATCAAGGATTTTGCCCACAGTTCCTTCCAAATGGCACTGTCTAAAGGCTGGCCCCTCTACATGAGCACCAAGAACACCATCCTGAAGAGATACGATGGCCGCTTTAAAGACATCTTTCAAGAGATCTATGACAGGTAACTAGAATAGTTTTATACTTCCTACTGCAGTGCATAAGTCTGCAGCAGGAACATCCTCTCCAGCCGTGTGAGCTGTTACAGTTAATTCAGCATTTTCAGATACTCAGCAGCACTTGGAGGGGGTGTATGTATTTCCTGTCACAGTCATCCTTGTCCTGCAGGATATGGTACTCAAATGTTTAAAGTTCTGTGGCAGTGGTTTTCATCTCCTAATGGAGTCACAGATTCTCTATGGGCTCCTCTGTGGCTCTGAAGCAGACTTGCAGTGGCCTAGCAAAGCCAGCAAGGGAAAAAGAGTAAAAATTAGGCACGTTTCTTTTAAGTTGTTTGGTTGTTTTTTTTTTCCCCACTCATCTCTATGCACAATGACTTGTTTTTATCTATATGACAAGGTGTCCTGGTTTTTGTTTCCTAGAGAATACAAGTCCCAGTTTGAAGCCAAAAAGATCTGGTATGAGCATAGGCTCATTGATGACATGGTTGCTCAGGCCCTGAAATCTGAAGGAGGCTTTGTCTGGGCCTGCAAAAACTACGATGGGGATGTGCAGTCTGACTCTGTTGCACAAGGTATGAGATGTTTCCTGTGCTGTGCTGAAGTAGGCTCAGTAGCAGTCTCTCAAGACCTTGTGTCATATCTTATGTAATGGCCCAGGAGGTAGTGTTGGGTCTCAGAATTTACATTTCAAACCTGTGGCTAGTCATAGACATACCAGGCAGGTAAAGAATTTCTGATTTCACTTTTGCAAGAAAATCCATTGAATGCAGACCGTGTAGTTGCACTTCTTTACCAAATGGCAGTTCCTACCAACATAAGATTGGCTTTCCAGTCTAATGGAGGGTATCCACACAGCTGGGATTCTGTCACTGACAGCTTGAGTTAAGCTGACTGGTGGTGAGTGTACTGGCAGGTGCTCTACAAATAAGTAAGAAAACCTTCAGGACCTAAAGATACCTGTTGGGTGTAAAGAGACTGATATGTTTAACTTTACAGACCTCTAGTGCTTGATCAAAATCATATAGCCAAGCTGCCTGATGCCAAAACAAACATGGATGCAGAAACCCACAGGACAAGTGTGTGGCTTTATGTAATATGCTCTTCCTAAAGTAATGTCAGTAAACTGCCTCCCATGGCACAAGGATGTGTGTTGGACTACGAACAAAGACACATTTGAAGACACAGACCTCTGAAACCTACAGGGTTAGAACTGATGTGAATGTGCAGTTTTGCCAGCTCATGGTTCCTTTCACTAGAGCAGATGCCCTTGATATGGGCAGGTTTGTTTCCTATCACCCTGTGGGGAAGAGAGTGATTAGCAGCCCAACACTGTTTATTTAGGATTCTTTGTTCTCATACTGCACCTTTTCAGTAAAAATCTGTCCAGCAAGTTAGGCAAGAATACCAATTTTCTTGAATTGGTGCAGAATGTCTGCGTAACTATATCGAATGGTTCAGCAGCACTTTCTGTTCAGACAAGCTGTTATTTTGACGTGTAAGGACTAGCCAGTTGCAGAAGCACTGCTGTTCAGGAATACTCACGTCAAGGCTTGGAGGGTGTAGGGGGACTGTAGGATGGGGGAATTTAAGGGTGCTGTCCAAAGGAGATGCTGAACTTTTTAAACTGTATCCCATAGGCTATGGCTCCCTGGGGATGATGACCAGTGTGCTGATCTGCCCTGATGGCAAGACTGTTGAAGCAGAAGCTGCTCACGGCACAGTTACTCGTCACTACCGCATGCACCAGAAAGGCCAAGAAACCTCCACTAACCCTATTGGTGAGCTGCTTTTCACCACCCTTCAGTGAGCTCTATACATGAAAGAACAGGTTTGGGGTAAGAACATCTGCACCCTTTCTGCAGAGAATTACACCACTGAGTGGTAAAACTGGTAGTTTGTAATGCATTTTTCTTCCATGGAGACAGCTGCAGCCTAGAGCAAAAACAGGCTGGAAAGGAGTGAGTGTGAGCAATAATCTAGACCTAATGTAGCCTTTGAGACATGTTCTAACTCTTCAGCAAACGATGGACTTAAAGCCACAACAGCTTTAAGGTTTAGGCTGGTTGTTTTTTATTTGACTCCCCTTCCTAATGTTCCAAAAGACCCAGCCAACCCCAAAACCATGTACATACTTAAAGTGTAAGTATACTTATAATAGGACACGAGGGAAAAAATCCTCTATAACTGCATAGGAACCAGAGTGTGATGCAATACCAAGAAGAAGACTGCACGCTTCTGTTATAAGGACAACTTTCTGTGTAACCACAGAGTCCTACCACTGGTCATTCTTTCTGACTCGGGCAGGAACAAAGTCAGGTAAAATGGCAAGTGCAAAGAGATTGCTGGAGGCAGTGCGTAGTTTCCAGGGTTTGCTATTCTATAGAGCTGCACAAAATGCAAAGGATGCCTAGATGAAGATACATGTTCTCTTTCCCATACCAGATTTTTCTCTCTTCTATCTGTTTTCAGCTTTATTAATATTTAAAAATAATTACTGTTCCATATGACAGTTTAGAACAATGTCCAGGGAGTTTTAGAAGGACAGTAATATAGTGTTCTCTCTCAGCCTCCATTTTCGCATGGACAAGAGGACTAGCTCACAGGGCAAAGCTGGACAACAACACTAGCCTCAAGAACTTCGCAGTTGCCCTGGAAGAAGTCTGCATTGAAACTATCGAATCTGGCTTCATGACAAAGGACCTTGCTGCATGTATCAAAGGCCTGCCCAAGTAAGTGTATGAAGTAATCAGCTGTGTTTAGAGGAGGCTGTTTTTTCTGAATAGCATTTGCTGGAAAGTTATTTTAGTATGGTGAAGAATTGCTGGAGTCTGGTCACAGAACAGGGCTCATCTATATACCCAGTGTGGTACGCACAGAGGAGACACTCCCTGCCCCAAGTAGCTTAGTCTAGGTTGCTCTGTCCCTGTTACTGTACCAAATGCACAGGGAGAAAAATGAAGAAGAAACTGCAAAGATTTCTCTTATGACAGGCTGGCTACATTAGCCAGATCCTGCCCTGTCTGTTCATGAGGATGGAGACCTACTTCACTCCAAAATACCACCTGGCTACCTCTTATCTGGAGCCTTTTGGTAAAAACCATCAGCCTGATGAGTAGAACTCCTTTGTTTTAGAGGCAAGACTTAGTTCTTTGAACAGTCTTCCCCTGTTTTGAGCATTTGAGTGGCTTTACAACTAATGTCTGTCTTGTTTTCTTCCCCTCCCCATTCCTGCTGCAGTGTCACACGCTCTGACTACCTGAACACCTTTGAGTTCATGGACAAGCTTGCTGAAAACTTGAAGGGGAAGCTGGCCTCTCTGCCCAAACTTTAAGGCACAGGTTCTACTCAAGCTACACTAGCAAAGCATCTCACACTTACACCAGAGTAAGTGGCACTGTATCACACTGTAACATTTCAAATACTACAAAATGAACATGTACTTTTTAAAATGTTTAAAAGACCCTGTTTTCTTAAACCCTTTGAGCTGCTGGGCTAGTCCTTACTTTTGCTAAGCAGCTGAATGTGATAGTATTCAAGCTCAGTGTGAGTTTGCATTCTTAATGACATTCACAGCAGACCTGAGGTTTTTCTCCCATGACTTTGATCTGTGTTTCTTTTCTCTCTTCCTATCAGACTGAAAGCCAGTCTGTGTCACAGTTCTGGTCAAACCAGTGGTGACTTACTGTCCAACGGACCTTAGAAATCGGAACAGTCCTCATCTCTCCATCACTGTTCCCTGGGTATAAGTGAGCTTATGGGGCTATGCCAGCTCTACTGCAGCCCCTCTTATTTTATCTTTTAGTGCCAGCCAGAGCATAGTATCCTGATACTAAGGGAGTTAGTCCCACTCCTCCAGTCAGGACTGTGGCATTTGAGAACAAGCACTTAAATGTTAGAAACAAGCCCTTTAGGCTAAGAGCCTAATAAAGCCATGCTGTGGTGTCTAAATGCAGGCTATGCATTTATAGTCCTTCTGACTGGATGTGAAACACAGAAACTGTTACCTCTTTCCCCTACCCAATTCATAAAGGTGCAAAACTTTTCTCTGGTTGTCTGGGCTATTGCCCCCGTCCTGTTGTGATACAGCAAGTCAGACTATGACTGTGAAAAATTATTCCATCCATGGTATTGTGTTTGGGTTTTTTAAAAAATATTTTAGTTCAGACTAAAATAAAAGTTTTAACATTCTTTGTGTCTGAAACTTTCCTTTGTGTGATTAGCAGATATGGAGAAATTTTGCCTCAGACTCCAGTACCTTTCAGTACAGTCTGGTACATGCAGTACATAATCTCTCCCTTAAGAGTTTTAATTAGTTCTGACACAGGGCAAGATGTGATTCTGTAGTGTGGTGGAAAGCATCAGGTAATGCACAAAAATGTGAAGGTACTACTTCTATTGAAGTTTTGTTTTGGCACTAATATAAACAAGCTGAAATACTGCCACTCAACAAAGAGCAGAAACTGGTTATACATGAGACAAACTCACCATGCAGCTGACTGTGTGTTGGTTAGGGCAGAAATGCAACATTAGACTAGATCAGGTAGTATTAACATTTGTTTTGGAATGAGTATGTGTTTGAAACACAGCTCTACAACTGCTAGCAGCTGTCACTGTTCCGTCAGTATGAATGAACACAGTAGTCTACTGTTGTTACTTACATAAATGTGTAAGAAGTGCAGCTGGAAAAAAGCCCGTTGCTGACCCATAGAAGCAATGGGAACAATCCTTAGGAATATCTGGAGATCTATGTTCCTGCCTGGCTTCTGCCCTCAGTAGTTAAAATTACTGTGCCAGTCAGACAGGTCATGCTACAACAGCACTTCTAACCTGTTACAAGTTCCTACCTGGCTTCCAGAGTTTGAGTACCAGCGACACCTTAGTACCTTTAAGGAAATTGAACAAATAAATAAAGGAGACTTTTTAAATCTTACACTTTATTTTAATAACTGAAATGTAGCTTAAGTGTAAGCAATAGCATTTATCTGACTGCAGATGACACTATTTTCCCCCTGTACTAAAGTTTTTCCATCTTCTGGAGGGCTCTGCAGAGTACAGCAAAACCCAATCTGTCCTCATGAACTAATGGATGTGGCTGAAGTACCAATGAGAGAAAGGAACATGTCTCCATGTTGGAAGAAGTAGCACTAAGTGTGGGCATCATAAGAATGCCCTGCTCTGTCATGGAGAAAGAGGAAACACTTTTCCTGCTTCCAAGGAGACACATTCCCTTCCCCTTTACTATTAATACAATCACTTCTTTTCACCACTACTCCCTCAAACATTTAATATCAATAACCTTCAAAGTCAGACACCAGTAGACCCTAAAGAAGTGAAGTGCTGGAGGCCAGCCTGCACTCAAGTCTGCAATGGAAAAAAGCAGAGGATTTCCTGAAACATGCTTGTCTGCTTCCCAGTACACCAGCTGCTCCACAGTGCTCTTGGGCAGGGCCCTTGTAGCTCCCACCACCAGTAGTAGCTCTTTACACCACAACTCCCATCAGCAGACCCCAGCAAAAGTTGTCTTCAAAGTATAGCCTAGCTTACCTGTAGTGCTGACACTGCTGTAGTTAGGACACAGATGCAGTCTAAGTATTGTGTGCTTGGCACTGGTGGAAGGCTCTTGTTTCAACTCCATAATTAGGCAAATCACCACTGACAGGAGATAGAGTGAGAGGGGCTATATCAGTTATTTGCCACAGCTCCCTTCCAGAACAGCAGAAAGCACCAACATCTAGGGCTGTCTAAGGCTTCAGTAGTCAACCCTAAATGTGACTTCCCTGCGGACTGCTCTACCCCTCCAGAAGCCACCTTTTGCAGGAGGTAATGCTAGGCTTGCTGTCAAAAGCCTGGGCTGCTGCAACTCTTTCATGCCCTTTCAGCAGCCCCTGTGGGTGTCTGCAAGGCTGGAAGATCAGCCCTCCAAGGTGTACTCTCCCCAGGCTTGTGCAAAAAGACTGCAGACAAGCACCCCAGCCTTTAAAGGTGGAGGAGGGGAGGGTGGGGAATGAATGTCACAGAACTTGTATAACATCCACATAGGAGACTTTATTTATACTTCAAAATTAAAATAAAAAATAACCTATGCAAAACATTAGAGATATTCTAGCAAAGACACTCAAGCCCCTAAAAGCTTGTGGGCTGCCTGTTCAACCACTATTTAATTCTGGCTCCATGTCTCTTCTCATTGTTACTAGCTCGCCTGCCTTGGCACGGGGACATCCTTCAGGAAGCCATTCTTTTTCCTCTTCGAACTTATTGGTCGTTTCCTTGGCTTGGGCAGTTTTCTTCTTTTTGGTTTTGTAGAGAGGGGAGCGGAGGAACTCGGTGTTTGTGAACGGGTCACCCCGCCTCAGTTTCCTGCGGAACCAAAAGGGTTAGACTGAACTATCAATGTATTTTTGAATACATGTATGATTTCAGTCTCTAAAGTTTCTGATTTTACTGAAATTTTTCCACTATAAGATGACTGAGTGGTACAGTTTGTCATCCAGTACAGGAACAGCTGTACCAGAACAGAGTACTTTCTGACCCAGTATAGCCAACTCCTCACAGGAAGTTCAAACTGTGACACTTAGGGAAAAAAAAAAACCACAGTATTGCCCAGCAACGTAACCGTTAACAAAGTCATCATTTTAGGAGTTAAATGGTTCTGTACAGTTTCTTAGGGAAAAGATGTAGCTACTTGTTTAGGTACTCATATCTGCCAGAAAAAGCAGAGATACAGCCTGCTCACAGGGTAGAGCCCTCCTCAAAACCTAGCATTTATTTCACTGAAACCCAATTAAAATGGAAGTATTACTTAGTTTTTGTCTAAAACTCTAGATATCACAGAATGGCAGCAAGTGAAATCAGGGCTTTCACTTAGCTGTCTTTATTTAGCCTGTATTTTATCTTCACACTAATCCCTCATTAGCACTGGAATACCAGAGATGCAGTCTAAGAGATGTGCTTATTTCAGTGAGTAAAATAACATCTTTGGTAGCTTGCTACCAGAAGCCTGCACATGCATCTGTGGTAATGCAGAATTTTGGCTTAACCACACTGGGGTAGAAGAGGAGGGTCACAGAAACACAAAGAGTAAGAGAAACTTAAAGTGACAGAGGGTCCAGCCCTGGAGAGTGAGCACATGAGAGCAGAGCAGGGGGTTGCAGCATGGGAAGTCATGGGAAGGAATAGTTTAAAATCCAACCTGTTGAGTTTTGGCTCTGCGTAGCAGGCTGGGTCCCGTCTCCGCCTGGGTAAGTATCCTGTCACTTCTTCCAAGCTGGAGGAAGCCACAGTCCTGGCATTGGTCAAGTCCTGCAGTGGCCTGATCTCTGCAAAGGCAGACATACACATGAGTTGATCAAAGTGCTTCCAAATAATTTTCAAATATCCTAAGAAATACAGCTGTTAAATAGAGAACAGCAGTATTACCATTACTGCACCATCCTGAATCCAACCATGTTCCCTCTGAACTCAGGATACCCTCAAAAGTCAGCTCATGAATTGAATTAGGTTCCTCACTGAAAAAATACAGGTCACTAATACTTCTAGTATGATTGGGCCCTGGTGTAGTAGAAGAATGATGCAAAAATTAAAGTTGATAGTTAATGCCCAGGAGCTTACAGCCTGGAGGAGGAAGCAAGTTTATGGCACCTAACCAACCTGCAAGACCTCCAGCAAGACACAGGACTCTGCCATTGTTTCCTGAAGCTTTCAAAGTGAAGTCAGCCAAGAGGGGGAGGGCAGGAGAAAAAACTTCCTCCCTCCCTACAAAGTACAGCCCACTCTAGCTAGAATAGGCCTGTTTGTCAACAGCTACAGCAAGGAAAAACCCCACAAAACAACTCTCTTTACAGAGAATCCAGTAACAACAAGCTCCCGAAGGCTCAGCTTAACTATCATATTACCAGCCACGGGATGACACCCCTCCAAATCCTTTTAAAAAAACAAACCAGAAAAACATAACCAAGAAAATTAGCCCCTGATGAATTTCCATTGAAGATACCACCTAGAGGTATAGCCTGAAACGTTGCAGCAATAACCATTCTGTACCAAAAACCTGCCATCTTCATATTCTGCACCCCAATAACTCTAGTAGGCAGGGTCAGCATCAAATTATACTTTTCAACTGCTTAAGGAACAGATTTTCTAAATTGACAGGCACACCCTGTAGATAACAAGAGCGGTAAAACAGGATTTGTAGCACATACTCCTAGTCTTTCCCCAATATCTGTACATTAACAAGTGACCAGAAATTCTTACAGGAATGCTGATAAATTAGAAGCAAATGCAGCCACAGAAATGACTAGCCAGCACAAGTGGAAGCATAAACGGTATACTGGAAACTGATCTTTAACTGTAAAAAAAAATAAAACAAACCCAAAGGGAGGGGAGCACGAGTAATAAAAGCACCGGCTGCATGGATTCTTGGCACTCATCTCCAAACACATATCCCCTCCCCTAGCCTACCACCTACCAGGTTCCTGTGAAGGTGAGTTCTGAGAACTTGATTCAACCAGGTTGCTTTCCCCAGGTACTCCCTCTGCAGACTTTTCTTTAAATATCAGGGAGCTTTCCAGCCAAACAGAGGATTTCTCTGGCGTTCTGTTGTCCACTGTAGTTAAGCTCTTGGAAACTGGTACATGTGTAAGCCTGGATCTGACAGGCGAAGCTGTAGAGCAGGTCACAGGGGAGGATTCAAGACTGCATGAAAGGTCCCTAAGATTATTTGTAAGCGGTATCTCAGCTATCTGCTTCTCCAGGAAGGCATCTGGCTCAGACAGCAGATCTGTAATGCAGGAAGACTTCCTCATCAGGACAGTCTGCTTGGATGCAAGCTCTGCTGGATTTCCAATGAGCACCTTGGCACCATCACTTTGTCTAGCCAGGGAATCAGTCTCTGGAGGTCTAGAGGTGTTCCTCTTCCTCTGAGGCTTTGGTTTGGGATAGGCCTCTTTTTCTGAAGTATTCATGTTGTTGTCAACTTTAGATTGCCTCTTTTCTTGAAGGCTCCCTGTCTGGTTTTTATTGCTCTGAGCAGCTACCATCCTCTGAACTCTGGGGATTTTGCTCGCTTTGCTTCCAGGAAGAGACCTGGGAGTTACAATTTCACTCCCTTCCAAATCTGTCTGGACACAACCCAGGTTTCCTGCAAGATCCAAAGGACCGACAATATAAGATTTCCTGCTACTTTTAAGATTACCTGGTGAATCCTTTGTGCTCTCCTTAGCTATTGCTCGAGCATCTACACATGGCCCAAAAGCATCAACTTCATTTCTCTGATCACTACAACTGTTTTTCCTGACAGTCATCTTCCTGCTTGTCTGGCTTCTTTGAGGCTGTTTTTCAGCTTTGGCCTCCAGTATTTTCACACCGTTTGGCAGATTCTCCTCCTCAGAGTTATCTCTTTGCCTAATTACTCTAGTTTTTCTGTTGATTTTCTGTCGGGTGCTCTTTGAGCTCATGCTTGAGTTCTCTTGCAAAGCACAGGCACTTGAGGTTTCTTTCCTCAAGAAAAGTGAATTTTGTAGACTGGAATCATTTGAGGGAACTTCATGACTTGAGAAAGTATGAACTGGGCTTTTTAACAAGCTCTCCATACTCTGGATCTCAAGGATAGCTTCCGCCTTAGCCTGTTGCAGTAAGTCACCTCTTCCAAGACCCTGCAGCTGTGGTGACTCCACCACATATGTTCTTCTGCGATCTTGGACTTCACCACAAGAGTAGGAATGTTGCTCCCCATCACAGTGTCTGTTCTTCCCGTTGAAAGACCCCATGCAAGCCTTCTGCCTCTTCTCAGAAACTTCAGACTCACTAGAACGTGTTGTAACTTTTGGCTGAAGAAGCTTCTTCACATTTTGAGCACTCTCTTCACCTTGAGGTATATCAGGACTACTTTCTGCATTGTTTTTAATTGCGTTTGTTTTCTTTTTTCCTGTGCTTGCTTTTTTAACAGATGTTTTCTTACCAGTTTTACGATTACCTTTGCTTTTGACCTTTACAGGAACAAACTCGGGGACTTGGCTATAGCTGGGGTCCGTTTCAACACCACACCCAGTTTCTTTAGCCTGTGGCTGATCACAGAAAATCTCTTTACCTAAAGATTTTCTATCAGGAATAACAGTGATTTGAGTAGGTGAAACCAGGGAGCTGGGAGATTTCAGCTGCAGCTGTGTGTTGCTCTTTCTGGAGCTGCTGCTGTCCTTTGTGATACTCCACTGATCTGCCTGAGTGGAACTGACACCTGGAAAGACATCAACAGCAGAAGATGGAGTGCTTGTTGCAAACAGGGTGGACCGCTTTCTCCTTTGAGTAATATGCCCTTGTGAGAGACGATCAAAGAGATGTTTTGCCATCTCATTGCTCTCTTTTGAAAGAGGCTGACTTTCCCAGGCAACCGCTGACAAAGCATTGGGATTTTGTTGGGTGGCGCAGGTGGTCTCTGTTGGAAAGAAAAAAATAATTCCTAAGACTGAGAAATGCAGCAGGCAAATGTCAGCTTTGCCCATACCAGTAAAAACCATGCCCCACACACTGCCACAGATCTAGAGTATAGATAAAGCATGATTGTCTCTACAGGAACTCTCCCAACTTACTGTGTAACAGAATAGCTCAGCTGGCTCCACCCAGAACACAAAGGCAGCCCAAAGCAAGAGCCCTTAAGCAGCTCAAATACTTTAAGAATGCTCCTGATCTGCACGAGAGCTATTTATATGGCAAATCTACAGGAACAGAAGGTGTGCATCTAGTCAGATTCTGCACCTTCAGACATTTCTGAAAATCTTATGTAAGCTCAGTGTCTGATGCTCAGAAAGTCTGAGTGATCCTGAGCTACTGCAAGC